GAAAAGCAAAGGGTCATATACAAGGGAACCCCTGTAAGGTTATCAGCTGATTTCTCTGTAGTCTCAACAAATTTAAGGGGATTGAAATTATATCCAGCGTTTTTTCTTACCACAATGGTATAAAACTAGAAATCAATTACAAAAAGAAAAATGGGAAAAGAAGAAACACATGGAGACTAAATATGCTACCAAAAAAACCCACAATGGGACAATAAAGAAATCAAAGAGGGAATAAGAAAATACCCCAAGACAAATGAAAATGGAAACTCAACACTCCACAATTTATGGGATGCAACAAGAAGTTCTAAGAGGAAATTTAATAGTGATGCAGGCCCTTCTTCATAAAACAAACAAAAAAATCTCAAATAAATAACATAATCTTACACTTAAAGGAACCAGAAAAAGAAGAACAATTAAATTTTATGTAGACAGTTTCCATCTGTAGTATATCTATAATAAATATTGCTCTATTCCTATTTTCTATTTTATAAATAAATAAAAATGTTACACAAACAAGTTTTAACTTCAAACATTCTTGCTTCAGTTGTTGGCAAATTCTATACGAAGCTGCATTGGAAGGGAACTTCTAGATCTAGACAGAATTCTAGTTTGAGAAGAACACTAAAAACAGGTCGCCTTAATTCTCAGAAGCCCTATATTATGGTTAGTGCCTTCAGGATATCTTCACAATTCTACCAATTACTATATATTGAATATATAATGTAGGAGAGATACTTTCACAATCAGTATTAAGTTGCATCACACAATGCAGCTTCTTTGAGGGTATTTGCATATTTCCTGTGAGGATCTATAAAAATTAAGACTCTTATCATTTTGGAAAGGCTTTCAACACCTGAGTCAGTGGCAATGACAAACAACTTGAATTTTTCTGGCAGTATTTTCCAGTCCCTTCCAACTGATATTATAAACTATCTATTCTTTTTCTGCTTCTTTTGTGGGATTTTTTTTTGTGGAATGTTCTAAACCTTGATAACTCTACTGTTTACAGTTCTCATGTTTTGCTCTCTTCCTTTTCCAGAGCTCTTCAATAGAACTTTCTGCAACAAGGAAATGTTATCTATCTGTGCTTTCCAGTATGGTACCCAGTAGCCACATATGGCTATTGAGTACTTGAAATGCAGCTAGTGAGACTGAGAAACTGAACATTTAATTTAATTTAATTAATTTCGATTTAAATTTAAATAGCTACATGTGGCTGTTAGACATCTACCTTACTGGACAGCTCTCTGCGACAGATAAATGAAAGAGACAAAAGTATTTTGGTAAATCAGATTAATCTTGGGCTTTGAACACATGAGGAATGACTCAATCCTACAGCATCATATGTTAATGACTCAGATTCTTTTAGATCAATTTATGACTGAAAATGAATGCAACCCTGGCAGTCAATAAAACATATCTTTTTGGCTTTTGACACTTTATATTAATTACCAACTGGCAAACTTCTCTCTGGAACTACTGGTCCTAAGGCAAGCATTATCCATAATAAAAAATGATTCTTAAAATTTTTTCCTCTTTTCCATACGAGAGAATACTAATATATTCAGTTTCTTCAAAACAGGTCCTGGTTCATATAGAAGGTGGGACAGGAGAAGTCCTGGTCCAGTCCAGTCCAGCCAAGAGGACTAACTGAAAAAGTTCTCATTTGGCTTCTTGGCCAGAAAGTATGTCAAGCATCTTTACAATCCTTTCTCCAGACACCGTATCACTCCTCCTATCCCCAACCAAAAAAGCGTATCATACAACTCAGTTCATTCCTGCCCAAATATTTCAAGATTGTTTCATTGCTAGTAAGACGTATGTTTATGTTTCAAAGAGCTCTCTTCTTGTCAAAAATATCAAAATCACCATGGCATGGAAAGCATCCATGAGATGAATAAAATATTTTATTAGTACTCGCACTTTTTTTAACATCTTTATGGAATATAATTGCTTTACAATAGTGTGTTAGTTTCTGCTTCACAACAAAGTGAATCAGCTATGCATATACGTATGTCCCCATATCTCCTCCCTCTTGTGTGTCCCTCCCACCCTCCCTATCCCACCCCTCCAGGCGGTCACAAAGCACTGAGCTGATCTCCCTGTGCTATGTGGCTGCTTCCCACTAGCTATCTGTTTTACATTTTGTAGTGTATATAAGTCCATGGCACTCTCCCACTTCATCCCAGCTTACCCTTCCCCCTCCCTGTGTCAAGTCCATTCTCTACATCCATGTCTTTATTCCTGTCCTGCCCCTAGGTTCTTCAGAACCTTTTTTGTTTGTTTGTTTTAGATTCCATATATATGTGTTAGCATAACACATAGAGAAATATGTTTTTCTCTTTCTGACTTACTTCACTCTGTATGACAGACTCTAGGTGCTGGGGTTTTTTTTGGTTTTTGTTTTTCTCCAGTGGTGTGCTGGACTCTCCCTTCCAGATGGCTGGACTTCTACAAAGTCTTTTTCATCTGTGGGTATCGACAGCATTCCCAGGTTTTCCCAACCTTGGCTTAGAGAGACTGTGGAAGGTTTGGTGGCTTCTGCTAGTTCTGCAGTCCATATGGAGGTATGTCTGTCTATTACCAGATGAACAGTGGGTGGGACTTCTCCTGGGTCCCTTGTGCTGGATTTCACAACTCCCAAAGGAGTATTTTGTTTGTGGGTGGGTGCCAATTGTTAGCTGTTAAAAAGGAGGACAAAAAGGAGGCATATCTTTCACCACCTTGATCCTGACATTACCTCAGTATTTTACGAAGTCAATTTTCCTCAAATTTTTCCATATGTTGAATATTGTCACAGTAAACATTTCAGCAGACTTTTTGGTAGAAGTTGACAAGCTAATACTAACATTTATATGAATGACAAAGAACCTAGACTATTCAAAAATTTTAAGAAAGAAGAATAAGTTGGAGGACTTTTCCCTGACTTCAAGATTTAATCAAGTCACTATAAAGTTACTGTAATCAAGAAAGTGTGGTAGGGCTTCCCTGGTGGCGCAGTGGTTGAGAGTCTGCCTGCCAATGCAGGGGACACGGGTTCGTGCCCCGGTCCGGGAAGGTCCCACGTGCCGCGGAGCGGCTGGGCCCGTGAGCCATGGCCGCTGAGCCTGCGCGTCCAGAGCCTGTGCTCCGCAACGGGAGAGGCCACAACAGCGAGAGGCCCGCGTACCGCAAAAAAAAAAAAAAACAAAACCAGAAATGAAACTCTGCCATTTGAAGCAATCTGGATGAACCTAGAGCAGGGGCCCCCAACCCCCAGGCTGTGGACTGGTACTGGTCCAGGGCCTGTTAGGAACTGGGCCACACAGCAGGAGGTGAGTGGCGAGTGAGTGAAGCTACATCTGCCACTCCCTATTGCTCCTCATTGCTCACATTACCACCTGAACCATTCCCTCCCTCACCCACCGCCCCATCTGTGGGAAAATTGTCTTCCATGAAACCTAGAGCATATTAGGCTTAGTGAAATAAGTCAGACACAGAAAGACAAATACTCTCTGTTATCAGTTACATGTGGAATCTAAAAAATAAAATAAACGAATGAGTATAATAAAACAGAAACAGTATCACAAATATAGGGAAAAACTAGTGGTTACCAGTGGGGAGAGGAAAGGGGGAGTGGCAAGATAGGGGTAGTGGATTAAGGGATACAAATTACTGTGTACAAAATATAAAAGCAACAAGAATATACAGCACAGGGAAGTATAGCCATTATTTTGAAATAATTTTAAATGGGATATAATCTATAAAAATATTGAATCACTATGTTGTACATCTGAAACTAATATTGTTAATCAATTATACTTCAATAAAAAATTATCTAAAGATTTTCTATAATAAGGTGTGAAACTTTCATCTTTCATATGCTCCAAAAATTTGTTTACTATTTGTATTTTGTCTTGTATATTTTGAACGTAATTTGTAAATGATTACGTATTCGATGTTTTTCTCTTCATTTCCATTTTTATGTTCAGTTTTATTTCTTTGCTTAGGAATGTCTTGTTAGGTTACATATGTTCATCTGTATCTTCTAGTTCTATTATCTTTTATTAGATATATGTAATATTAATCTATTACCAACTTGATGCCTGGTAATTGCTTCATGATGTGTACATAAAGTAAAACTTCTAATTTTTAATGTTTCCGTTGTAATTGGCTACCACTGTCAACTTTCTTATAATTCTGATAGCTATTCAAGTTTCTCTGGTTTCCAGGTAATAGTTTATCTGCAATTCAGGGTAACTTAGTTTTTTATTTTTTAATAGTTCAGTCTTATCCTTGCTTTTTATTGTTTCCTTGAGAACCTCCAGGGCAACGTTAGAAAAAACAAAGACTAGTGGTAATGGCATGAATCCTTGTCTTGCTCATCTTCATGTCCCTTTATAGCATTTGGAATGTGTTTTGACATAAAACTTAATATCTACTGAAGAGATGAGTGATCTAAAATTTTCTGGTGAACCAAGTATCTTTAATTTTCAACAATTTGGAATGTAGAATTTTTTGGCCCCCTTTCACAGATGGCGAAATTGAGGTTCAAAAATGTTATATCCCTTACACAAAGCCCGAGGGCTAGTTTAAGAAAATCTCTCCAAAACTCTTTTCCTATTATGTGAATAGTAGCCATTAAGGTCTATTGAAAAAAGCTGGCTCTGGCATCGCTGGTAAGCTCCGTTCGGACTTAGAATACTAAGCTAGCAAAGGTTCCAGCAAGGCATAGTTACCCTAGTAAGTTACCTTGGGCTGGGTCTCCGCGGTAATCAACACCAGCCCTGTGGCGAGGCGGGGTCTCACACTCTAACCTACATGATTTACAGGTTTACAGGGGGCGAGGGGCAGGCTGGAATTCACAGCTTATCGGATGGGGCCAGCCTGTCTTGGAAGCCAGCTCCTGGCCCTCAAACCAAGGGGAAAGCCAAGGTTTGCTGGTCTTCAGCGCTTATCATCCCCTCAGCCCCGGTCGCCTCCTCTCCGCCCCCTGCAGGCCAGCCGAGGAACTGCTCAAGGGCCGGGTGGGGCCCGGAGCGCGGAGCCGACATCTCTAACCCGCTGAACTTTGGCTGTTCCACCTACTGCAGGCTGGCCACCCCGCCGCGGAGACAGCGGGCCATGGCGCGGGTGCTGATCGTGGGCGCCGGGCTGACGGGAAGCCTGTGCGCAGCGCTGCTGAGGAAGGCGGCGACTCGTCCTTTGCACCTCGCTGTGTGGGACAAGGCCGGGGACTCAGGTGGGTCGTCTCCCGGCCGAAACGGGGGGGGGAAAAGAAGCCGGCGGGGACCATGGCTTCTGAGGTGGCGTGGGCCCTCCCGGGGTAAGTCTGTGAAGAAATTCCAGCAGCTCGGCGGGCTTCTGGTCATGTGATCGGAGACTTCCGGCGCCCGTAAAGCCTGAGAGGGCGCGCGGGTGGAAGCGGCGACCCCGGCTGGGCTGGGGGGTGGGGCGGGAGTGCCGAGAGCGCTTCAGAGGGCGGCCTGAGCGGCCTGGGAGGGATCCTGACTGGAGTTTGCAAATCCTGGGCCTGCCGCTGTCGCTAAGAAACGGATTTTTTTCTTGGCCGCTCTGTGCCTTGGAGGCTTATCTCTAGATTATGAGAATCCTCAAGTGCCCATTGACCAAGACTTTACGAAGATTTAGTTGACAGCATCCTGTCCATCTCCTGAAATCTGACTGCAAGAGGGAAAGCATTCGTTGATTCGTTCATTCTGACGTTTCATTCATTATTTTGTTTTCTTTTGTCCGTTCGTTCATTCCTTTTACTCAGATAGGTAAATAGATGCCTCAGTCACAGTGCTGAAGGGTGGCGCGTTATTCATGAGTTCTTTTAAAAAAATATCTCACACTCAGTGACCAAATTGTCTCTTAATTACTTCCTGACAATGTTAGATGACAAAATCTTCGGTATAAAAAAACGTTTTCTAGATGTCTGTAATCTGGAGAAAACAGAATATTTAAAAATATATTATTATGAAAGTAAAAAATTCTTTTAAAAATTTAAAATGTTTCCTAAAACAGTTCTAAGTAATCTATTTGTGGTAACCTGGGGTGAATAGCGTCAACTGCAAAAGGTTCATTCTAATGCACTAAGACATTTTCCTGGGGACTAATTCAAGGGGGAAGAATGACCACAGCCAGCAGTCCTCATAATCCACAGAGCACAGTGGACTTGGGTGCCCAGTACATCACCTGCACTCCTCATTATGCCAAAAAACACCAGAGGTGAGTCAGTTGAAAGGGGTGGAATCAGTCTTACTGGTTGTAGGATGTAAAAAGATACAAATCATCCATTTTTAGCAGGGTTAAACTTTGACTCTTGTAATATAGTGAAATTATATTATCATCATTGATTGTATTAGCAGTAAAAGGTTAACCTGAGTAAAGCGGGGAAATTGTAATACATACCTCATCCAATTGTTGTGACCATCAGATGAGATGTTGCATGGAACATAGTAAGGGCTCAATAAGTAAGAGTTCATATGTTGGTGCTGAGGAAGAGGACAGATAGCTGTGATGGAAGTCAATCTTAACCAGATTTAAACCTGGTGTATTGAATATCTTTCTTTTGATTTTCACTGTCTTTAATTTTGAAATATATGAGAAAACAGACCTTTGACTAAGATTAGCAAAAGACTATGGATTCTCAAAACATTTCCATTCTTCACCTGAATTATAGTTTTTATTAACATAAAACATATGTTGAGTTGTTCATAGAAGATTTCTAGTTATTATTTAGGATTGTAATCTCTAAGAATTCTTGGAAGAGACTATAGTATTTAGAGCTAAGTATAGCTTATAGTTATGTTATACATATTGATTTATTTCAGTTTTTATGATGAACTGTTAGCTCCTGGTGTTTTGAAGCCTCTGACCTCTCCTATTGAAGGAATGGTGATGAAAGAAGGAGATTGTAACTTTGTGGCACCTCACGGAGTTTCTTCAATTATTAACCATTACTTGAAAGAATCAGGTGAGAAGAGAATTTTTTCTGCCTTCTTTTAAAGTTAGCATTTTAAAATAAAAGTTATACACATAAGTAAATATTAATGCTATAAAGAAAGTTATAAAATAAAGTAAATGTTCTCCTACTCACCACTCAATAGCTAGTTGTCTTCGCCTAAAGTAATCATTGTTTCCAATATATGCTTCCAGAAAAATGTTTATGCATCTATCTATTGTTCTATGTGGCTGTCTCTATTTACCTATTCATATATTTGTATATATTCTTTTTTAAAACAGAAACGAGCTTATTTTACATAAGCCATTCTATACTTTTCTCATCTATGTTTATAATAACTCAATCTCTATCTCTATCTAAGTCTATATATATCCTATTGGTTCTGTTTCTCTAGAGACTCCTGACTGATGCATAATCATAGAGTGAATCATATCTTGGGTCTATTTTCATATCAGCAAATTCAGTGTGCTTCATTCTTTTCAATGCCTGTCCAGTATTACATGGTATGTGTGTATTGTTATGTAGTTAACTGTTAACTTTCTGGTAAGCATGTAGATTGTTTGGGGGGGATGAGGGGTTGTTTTGGTTTATGCTAATACAAATATTACTGCAATGTTTAACCCTGACATACTTGTGAAAGCATATCTGTAGGATCAGTTCCTAGCAGTACAGTAGGTGTGTCAATGGTATGTGCATTTTTTATTTAACTAGGTTGTGCCATCTCTTCCTCTTAAAGAATATCTCATCAATAGTGAAGGAGAACGTCTCTTTCCACACATCCTGATATTATGGAAATTTAAAAATTTTGCCCATGTGATGGGTTAAAATGGTATCTCCTTGTGTTTTGATTTGCATTTACTTAATTATGAGTGAGTTTATGCATCTTTGTTTTGCTAACCACATCTGTGCTTTTTTTTTCTTGTGAATGTCTTATTCATAACCTTTGCCCATTTTCTATGAGGATTTTCATTTGTTCTTTATGTTTATTATAAGTGTTTTAAAATGGACTTTTTTGAAAAAGATGATAAATAATCTTGGATGATAAATGATTTATTTTTTAAAACAGAAATAGGCTTCTTGATGAATCATAAATAATTGCCCAACTGAAGAGCACTGAGGAAAGGTATAAGGCTGAGTATTTGTTTTGTTTCATAAGCTATTTCTAGAATAATTACTGTTTTTTTTGGTCTCCTTCATCAAATATTACTAATTGGGAACCCTGAGAATCCTTGATACTGGGCATGGGAGGGGCCAGTGAGATTGAATATACAACATGAGGACATAGTAAATACCATTCTGGGTGAAGCCCTTTCTCCATCTAGGATTTAGTCTATGATGGTGTATTCATCAGGATTTTCCAGAAAAACAGAATCAAGAGGATATATATACACGATATATATATGATAAAGATTTATCGTATAGAATTAGCTTATGTGATTTTGGAGGCTGGCAAGTCTGAAGGTCTGCTAGACCCAGGAGAGTTGATGGTTTAGTTTCAGTCCAAAAGCCTGAGACCCCAGAGAGCTAAAGGTACCGTTCCAGTCCAAAGGCTGGTGAGCCTGAGACCCAGGAAGAGCTGATGTTTCAGTTCAAGTCTGAAGGCAGGAGAATAAAACAATGTCCCAGTTAGAAGGCTATCGTCTTCGAACTGAACAGAACAGAACATAGGTCTGTTCTCATTTATTGTCTCATGTGTTCACATTAAGCTTATTACAGAGAAAACTGCGTTTATTGACATCAGTTTTACCTACTGCCTGTCTTACTCCTGGGAGGGTCAGCCTTTCTGTTTTATTCAGGCCTTTGATTGATTGGATGATACCCACCTATGTTAGGGAGGGCAACCTGATTTATTCAGTCTACCAATTTAAATATTAATCTCTTCTAAAAACACCCTCACAGACATACCCAGAATAATGTTTGCCAAATATATGGGAACCCCCATGACTCAGTCAAGTTGACACATAAAATTAACCATCACAGATGGTGACAGCATTTGGACATTTTGTAGAATGTCACCGTCAGCTTCATATATTGCCACCATACAACTTTAAAAAAAAAATCTCATTTCCATCATGATTTTTACTTAACCCAAATTAGATGTGCATACTTACTAAAATTTCCAAGTACTTACTAATTGTATTATATATCTAACCATCCATGCATGCATACATCCATTCATTCAATAAACATTTACTGAGTGCTTACTATATACTGTTTTAGGCACTAATGATACATGAACCAAAGTCCCTGCCTCATATAGCTGAGGGACACTCCTTGAATACATTGTACCTACACCCTTTTGTGTTACATGTTTGGGGGAATATATGCTTTATTTTCCAATTTTGCTTTGGAAACTCTTGGCAGAAGAGGTCATATTTAATTATTTGTAGCTCAAACAGAATCTAATAGTACCTTGTACATAGTAGGTAGGTATAGTGATATAGATTTAGATTTCTAAGATATATAAATATACATATATTCATTCTAATTTAGCCAATTCTTTGTAAAAACCTATTTATTCTTTCAATTTGTACAGTCTGTTCAGAGTGTGAGTACTTTAGGTTTTCTTATCACTATGTAAAATATTTATTTCAAAAGTAACTTTTAAAAAAGAATTACATACTACTGGTAGAAAATTTGGAAAATACAGAAAAATAGCAGGGGAAAGTGTCACTATGATATATAAATCAACAATAAGTCCATTTTGTGACATACTTTCTGCTTTTTATTAAAATGAGTTTTTATATAATTGAGTTCAAGGTCTACATATTTTGAGTGTATGTAAACTTTTTCTTAGTTTATTTAAATATTATCTTTGTACTGCTTCAAGAGGTCTTTCCACCCTCTACCCAGATCCATTATTAGAGGCTTTGTAGACCCTATCTATACCATTTAAAATTTTATAATTATATCCATTTAAGCATTCTTTAAACTTCTTTAAAGCTTTCTGTGCTATAAATGGTTTCTATCTTATTTTAGTTGTTTCCACAATATAAGTCGAGAGAGTCCCTGTAATCAGAATGACCTGGATTCAAATTCACATTCTACCACCATTTCCTAGCTATGTAATATTAGGAAAGTTTTAAAATCTATACCTTGGTTCTTTCATTGGAAAAATGAGAGCAATAACAGTACCTAGTACTAAGTTTTGTGAGGAATAAAGGATATAATGCACTCATTGTCAATTTAAGCAAATAATAGGCCACGTACATAGAAATCTCTTGATAAATGTTAGTTTAAAAAATGGTCTACTTGAATGAAGCTGACCTTTGCATGTGCTCAGCGCATAAGAACCCAAATTGCCAAGTCATTCCAAAAAATACTCTACATTTTGGGATCAGTTGAGTTCACAACCCCACAGTCTGATGGTCCAACCAGTTTTATTTAGTTTGGGACTAGACTTCCAGGGAAATTATCTGTATTGGGTATGTCTAATCAGGTATGCTTTAGAATAGGTTCAACTCTCTAAAGCCAATATTTAAGTAGACCAGTTTCCCAGAATAAGTAGTAAAGGGCAGGAGGAAATAGGCACATGCCTCTTCACCTTATGGTCTGTTCTCATTTATTGTCTCATGTGTTCACATTAAGCTTATAACAGAGAAAACTGCATTTATTGACATCAGTTTTACCTACTGCCTGTCTTCCCAATTAATACAATCTTCTTGAGTAAGTAAAATGTGCTTTTTCTGTTGTTTTACTTTTTTGGTTGTCATTGTTGGCGGTGGGAGAAATTCAAAAGAACAAAAGCTACTCTATCATTTGTTAAGTGCTATTTATCTGATACTATGTTAGGCTCTTAACATACATCATTTCTAATTCTCATATAGCCATTCAAGGTGGTTATCATTCTCCCCATGTGCTAATGAGAAAAATGAGACTCCAGGAGGTTAAGTACTTTGCTTATGGTGGCTTAACTAGTAAGTGAGAGACCAGCACTCTCTTTAAGCTGACCCTGTTGTCATTTCCTTTTAATGATCTCATGGAGGACAATGAAAGGGTCTCATACCTATGATTTAACATATTTTCCTTTCCAGGTTTTCCCCTACAGTATGAGAGACTGCTCCCATCCTACCCTGGTTCTACATGTCAATGGACACCTGGCTCAAGAGAACAAACTCATAGTGCCCTTCCCCTAGTCCCCCTCTTTCATTGGTTAGTCCCTGCCCCAGGGGGAAGGGGCTACTAAGGAGTAATGCCATTTTACTTCTTTATGCAAACAGGGAGATCAGTCACCTGCTGGTTCCTGCCTATGACCTTTAGACAGTGATGAACCAAGTCCTTTTGCTTTTGAATAAGGCCCATGTTATTAAATCATTCATAGGAGGATGAATTTAGTTTCCAGGACAGGGTGAGCATCTTTTATTTAGTTTGGCCTACCATAGGAAGAACTGTTGCTGCATTTATTTGTTTTTATTTTACCGTCTACTTCAAAAGGGACATTGACTAACAATCAAAAGTCAACATGGGCAATGTAACTTGTCAAAGTTGACAGGATCGATTTATTAGAAAAGATGGTTTAATTTGCAGATACTATCAGCTAGTGTGATTTCTTTCTAGTAATATATAATTTTTATCATTTTCTCCCCTTTTACTTTTGTGTTTACTTTCTTTCTAAAATTGATGTAAGACAATTAAGGCTGGGCAGTTCTGTCTCAAAATTTCTCCTAGGCGGGTGATCATGGCACTCATCCATAACAGTGTCTGTCAGAGAGAAGGTAGAAGATAGCCCAGGAGGCTTGGATAAGCACTCCGCAGTTTAAGCAGTGCATTTAGTTAGACATTGCTTACATCTCTTCAGGTCCATCTCAGCAGTTCTGAACTGAAACCTTTTGTAGGAAATTATTGGAGGAAAATGAATTTAGATTCTCTCTCTAAAATGGAAGAAGGCAGGGGATACACATTGAATAAATAAATAACAGAAACATATTTGCCTTTGTAAAATGGCTAAAACTTCTTTGTGTTCTGATAGCTTTGTAGTTATCTGCAGACTTTTTTATTTTTATGAAATATGTGCTGGGGAAATAGTGGTAAATAAAACACATGGACCTTGCCTTTGTTAATATAGAGTGTAGTGGGGGGAAAAGACAAAAACTAATTTCACACACATAAAAAGGGTACATAATAAATGCTAAGAAGAAAGAGTGAGAGCCTTATGAGAGAGCTATAATAATAGGACCTAAACTAACGTGAGTTTGAGAGGAGTGAGGTATGGGAAATGTGTCAGGGAAAGCATCTCTGAGGAGCTAATGTTTCCATGGGTACCTGAAAGGTGAGCAAGAGTGAACTAGGCCAACAGCTGAGTGGTGAGAATTGCATGCAGTGGGCATATCAAGTTGCAACTGTTCTAAAGTAGGAGGAAGATGGTGCATTTATGGAACGAAAAGGTCATCATGACTGGAGTGTAGTGAATGAGGGAGAAAACAGTAAGAGGTGAAGTTTAAGAGTAAAGCAGGAGCCAGATCATAAGGGGCTTTGTAAGCAACGTTAAGATTTTATACTTTATCCTAAATGCAGTGGGAAACCACTGAAGGATTTTATGCAAGAGAGGGATATGGTCAAATTTACTAAGCTCAGATTGAGAGATATTATCTAGTTCTTTAAGTGTTTAAAAATGATTTTCCAGAGCCTATAGATTTGGTCATGTGGTCCTTTCAAAAGTTATTAGTTACTTTCACAAGGAAATGCCACTTTCCCTGAAACTGACTCCTAGCAATTGGACAGGAAAACTTCCTGGTTAGTCAGAGCAGCTATACCATTGCCCCTAACTCTTGGAAAATGCTATTTTTTGAGTGACTTTGCCAGTGGTGGTGTTAGATTTGGGTCTATCTATCTACCCCAGTGGTCTCACACTTTAAAGTACATGGTAACAAACCTGGGGGCTTGTTAAATGCAGGCTACTGGGCCTGATCCCCAGATTCTGATTCGGTAGGTCTGGGTTGGGACCTGAGAATTTGCATTTCTAACAAGTTCCAAGGTGCTGCTGGTGCTGACTGATATACATCTTGCAGAACACTTTGGGACCCCTGGGATATATGTCCAAGACGTTTGACTGGATATGGAGAATTTCTAGTTAGTGGACTTCAATTCTGTTAAACACACACACCTACTCACCACCAAAACCAAAACCAATGTAATGCTGTTTTCAAAGGGAATATTATGTGAAAACACAACTGAATGAAACATATAAAGTCAGTTGACTTAGTTGAGGTCCCAGTCAGGGCCAGGACTAGAGTGAGGCAAGTGAGGGGTGAGACCTCCTAATCAATAGAACAGAGGGAAGTGGAGCCATTCTGGTTGGAGTAAAGGAGATGGTGGGTGTGAGTTGAAAGCTCCAGTTATTTGTGCCTTCCCAGGGGAGGGGCCTTAGAGAAACCCTCAGGCAAGTTGAAGCACTATTTAGAAGCCCTTGCTCTAATCTTTGAGCAGAATGATGCTAATTGCCTCAAAGAGATTGACCCCTGGGCCTCGTTATGTCTACTATATTTGCATTTGATTAAAAAAATTTGTAATTACTATGTTGTAGAGTTATTCAAGGGAATGTGAAAGATGTAAAGGTATATGAAATCTGGAGACCTGACATGGACGAGCCAGAGAGAGTATGTTGGGATAGATAAGACATATCTAAAGCATAGAGATACTTTGGATCAATGTCAGAAGGAGTGGTAAAGGCAGTGGTTGTCGAGATGAGAAGGATCACATTGAGCTGGAGTAGCCGCGGACAGGAAGCTTCATGGCAAAGTTTGGATTTAAGCTGGATGTTTAGTGGCTAGGAGCATGAGGTGTCCCATGCAGTGATGGACAGGATCTTTCATTGTGCTTTTCCCCCCTTATTCCATTTTTATTTACTTCTTTTCTATTCACGAGGCCAAATAAAAGTAGATTTGCTTTAACATCAAATTTTTCTCACAACTGGAATGTGAGGTAAGTACTAGTATACCAAGGAGACTTAATGATCCAATTATATTTTCCTATCTTTCAGTTTATGGTTCATAATTCATTCTCTTAAACAAATATTGATTAAATACCTAGTACATGCCAAGTACAATACTTTATATGCTATATATAGAAAAAGCAGGCATAATTTGTGGCTTATGGAGCTTACAAATTAAAAGGGAAGAAAATATTAATCATATAACTACTCAAATAATTATTAAAATATCTTTGTGATAAATGCAAATAAGGGAAATGCTATGAGAGGATATTCCAGATTGTATTTCTCTTCATTTTGATTCTTTGTCATAAAGGTAGTTGATCCATCGATGAGACTTGGATTTCTCTTCAGAGTTTTTTTTTTCAGGTTTAATAGGGAATATTGATACTTTTAATAGGGAATATTGATACTTTTAATAGGGAATATTGATACTTTTAATAGGGAATATTGCTCTTTCTTGGTATTACTAGAGAGAATTCTTTACAGCTTTACTAAGGTGTATACTTGCTCTACAAAGATAATGAACTTTAGAGTCAGGTGGATGTGGATTTAAATCATGGCGTGACATTTCTAAATCTGTTTCCTTATCTGGGAAATGAATTGGTATAATGCTCTTTCTTGGTATTACTAGAGAGAATTCTTTACAGCTTTACTAAGGTGTATACTTGCTCTACAAAGATAATGAACTTTAGAGTCAGGTGGATGTGGATTTAAATCATGGCGTGACATTTCTAAATCTGTTTCCTTATCTGGGAAATGAATTGGTATAATGTATATCAAGTGTTTGGCATAGTCTTGACATACAGTAGATGATTAATGAAAGATATCTATGGTTTCTATTATTATTAATTGTAGTAGTATTATTATTTTTTCCCCAGAGCAGGCATTGTTAGGGAGGTCCAAGGGTGCCAGAAGGGAGGGATTCCCATTAAATGAGATAGAAAGTAAAGAAAGTGAAGCCCAGGGGCTGTACAAGAAGAACTTTTCCATTTTATTCATCTGAGTGGATCCAGTTTGTGACTCTTCTCTTCCCTCTCATTCGTATGGAAAATCCTGATTATGTGAATATGATTTTGCTTTTGCAACAGGTGCTGATGTCTACTTCAGACAATGTGTGACCCAGATCAACCTGAGAAATGACAAGTGGGAAGTCCTCAGGGAAACAGGCTCCCCTGAGCAGTTTGATATTGCTGTCCTCACGATGCCAGCTCCCCAGATTCTGCAGCTTCAAGGTGACATCGTCAACTGTGAGTCTCAGCCTGCACTGTTTACCTTAGGGAATGGGCTCCCTTTGAGAGAGCGTGAATTCAGTTTAACTGACTTAGCAAAGGGTATATTAGGGATTCTACTGATTTGCATGTTTTAAAAACTGACACTATGGTCTGGTTCATTATATTAGTCTAGGTCAAATTGAAATCCAGATTTTTAAAAACCCAGTTAAAAATGGAATATTTCTCTTTTTTTCCTTGCCTTTAAGAAGTAAGTATTTTTGATGGAGATGTAGTAGTTTGGCCCAAAAGAAGAACAGTCTCTTTGTGGCCATTCTGGAATAAAGGAGGTTTTTATGATATAAGCATTGATTATGTGACAAGCCTGGTAAACCTTACCTTGGATCGTTCTTGAATGTGAGTCTCATGTTCTTCCCTGACTGTGATTTGTTGACTCACCTTTCACCTGGCTTCTCCCACCTCCTTTTTAAAAAAACAGCTTTGAGACTAATTCACATACCATACAACTCATCCATTTGAAGTGTATATTTCAATGGTATTTAGTATATCCAACGACATACTGCAACCATTCCCACACTCAATTTTGGAATATTTTCATCACTTCAGAAAGACACCCCATATCCTAAAGCTCTCACCTCCGTGCCTCCATCCCCCATCTCTGCCTCCAACTCTAAGCAAACAGTAATCTATTTTGTCTCTATAGATTTCCCTGTTACCTGGATTCTTAAGAAAAGCTTTTCTAGAGCTCTGTTTTGTATCTACCTATGCCAGGTTTAACTGATTATTCTCCTCCCTTTCATCATGTCTGACTGGCCCTGACACATCAAAGTCATTGATTTCTGGAGGATACCTCATCTTGCTTTGAAGTCCATGAGTTATAACAAAGCAGAGTCTGGTGATGGTGGCAAGGCTTTGGGGATGTGACATGCCTGTAGCTTTTGACTTGGTGGCATGACTGAAGTGATATTGGATTTGATTGAGAAATAGCCTTTTATGCCACTGTTAGAAAGAAAACTGGTAATGAATATCATTTATAGATCCTAGATTTAGAACTGTAATAGGGATTGTTCTCTGAGGAAGAGTGTAGCTGCATATTACATGTTGAAAGCAGTTTGACTATCAGTTCTACCATGCAGTAGCGATATATAGCTTCTTTTGTTGTACAGTCTGAGACATATAGAAAGGATTGGAATGTTTATTAGATAGCTATAGGCAAAGTAAAAAACAAATTTCAAAGATCTCTTTCATGGGTCTACCTCTAGTGTGTTGCCAAAGTCACTTTAAAGTAGGATAATTTATTGCCTCGGATTCTGTAATAATTGGATTGATTTTGAGAGTGTTAAATAACATACTGTAACTTAACTAAAACACAGTTATTGGTTAGTATATTTAGTGGTACTGTAAATTACATATTCCAATTTTTTAAAGCTACATAGTTTTGTATGTGGAGACCCTTCAATGTTGCATTTATTTCTCAATATTTGTATTAAATGACATATAAAATATAATACCATGGCATAGACTGAGTCCTAAGATGTTTAAGGGCCTGCTAATTAATAATTTTATTTAGATCATCTTTATCCTTATTTTTTGAGTAGCTGAACTGTGTTGGTCTGAGAGAGATAACTTAAATTCTTCTACTATTATTGTATTTCTGTCTTTCCTGGGGTTTTGGGAAACAAATTTTTTTGCTTTATGATTTTTTTGATACCACATTATTTGATTCATAGTATTTCTTCATTAAAATTTACCCTTTAACTTAAGTTCTTTCTTTAGTGTCATTTTCATTTTGTTTTGCTTTCGTATCATTCTTGACTGATAAATGAGATGCTCATTGTTTTATTTTCATTTGTCTGGTGCATCCTTTTTACTTTTAGCCTTTCAGAGATATTTTATTTTAGAAGTACCTCTTTTGTATTTGGTTATCTTTGAGTTGAGTAATTTCATAAAGATATATCTTATTGTTAATAGTTTTGTGTCAGTTTTTCATGAATCGTGTTGTGCATTTTGTATTTGAAGGTTCAGCTTTTCCCTTATTTTCAGCTGTTTCCTTCTAATACTTACATGACCATCTATCTATATCTGTTCCATTTATTATGATCTCAGAGTATCTTAAAAAATTCAAAGTATCTCCCTTCTGTATCTGCCGTTTGTCTCAACTCACTGTCAGTTTTGGTCTTTGCATTATTTTTATTTTCTATTTCTAGCCTTCCTCTATGTCACTCATGTAGTTTTCAAATGTGTTCCTTTTGCTCCCTTCCTTGAGATATTGTTTCAAAGAGGTCATATATTCCTTCACTGTTTTCAGGTCATTGCCTAAGTGTTTGTTGAACTAATCTGCTTCCTGGAAAAATTTTTCTGATATGTATTTTTCATCAGCTCATTTGTTAGGTTCTGTATGTTCTGCTGTCTTCCTCATTTTCTCTGCATAGGTCCCTGTCTAATCATTACTCATCTTTAAATGGGGCCATTTCTGTCAATTTGTGAAGGAAAGTGTTGTCACAGAAGGCCAGACATTTTAGTTAAAGTATATTGAATAAAATTTGTAAATATTTAGCTGTGAACTATTAAATGCTAGTGATCATTAATATATTTATTAACATGGGAAGATATAAAAATATTTTTAATTTAAAAAAGATAAAAGGATGTATTGCTATTTCTTTTCTATCTATCCAAAATAGTTTAGTAACATTGTTATTGCTTGAAGATGATTTTCATCTTCTTTGATACAATTTTTTGAACTGTCATAACTTTAAAAATAAGGATAGTTTACTCTTATTATAAAAAATGATAATGGTGACACAATTTTAAAAAGTGTATCATGCTGAAGAGGAAATAGATCTTTTTTCCTTTTCTTTTTTAGTGGTGGGATATGTAGGCTCTTTATGATGAAAAAGTTTAAGAATGATTGACTTAGTACTTTTGATTAAGAGTAAGGATCTTTGGGGGGTTTTACTGGCTCAGTTCAGAATTGGACCTCATGCAAGCAATTCTTTGTTTGCTTCATTGTTATGAAATAACCCATTTTAGCAGTAAAGGTTTAAAACAGAATGTCCTAACATGACCCTTGAATACCTGTGGGTCTAAAACAAAGGGATTAAAAACATATGATTTCTATTTATCTTATAAATCTCAATAAGGACCTCAGTATGAGGAATTCATGTCACCTCTCTGTTTCTCGAGAACCTTAAATACACTCTTGCTTGTTTATTAGACATCTTCAGTTTCTGTGAAAGACCTCCATTTACAAAGCTATCTATTGCCATCTAGTGGACGCAGTATATATTGCAGTTCCCCTCCAAATTTTTTTAACTAGAGACTATGAAGATGACCGAAATATAGGCTATAAAACTATGATATAATTCAAAAAACTCCATTCACACCAAGAAATAAATTTAGGTCCATGATAATTAACTTACCCAAAAGTTCATAGCTAATTAGTGACAGAACTAGGGCTGTGCTACAGGTCTCACATTCATACAAACTATAAGCAGCCCTGTGTCTTTGGCTTTCTTTGTGCTTGTCTTTTCATTCTCTCTGTCTCTCTTTTTAAATCATGTCTACCCATTAGAATCAATATAGTACCATCTCTTACATGAAAGACTTCCCTTTTGATTACAGTGTGGTCTGGATTTTCCCTTATCCATCCTCCCTTTCCCTATTTTCCTTTTTACAAAAGAAACAGAACTAGGGTTTTTTTGGCAATTACTTATTACACTTACTACATTCTCCCAGTTAGGAGAACAGGGAAGCTTTATGAACTATATAGTTAACCTCTTATGATTCATGATTTGCCATCTGGTTCTATAACAGTGCTACTCTCTATATATGAATATTATAAAAACTAGCTCACTTAATCCTCACAACAATCCTAATTACTATTATTTCCATTCTTGGTGGTGATGCTGAGATGTGAGCCTTAGTAGTGTGACTCCAGAGCCCACACATGTAACCACCGTTATACACGGTGTCAGACTACCCTAATACTGATTGTTTCATGTATTTGTGAGTTCCCACCGTGTCCCGCTCATTTTTGATCACCATGTTTTCCAAACTTGCCTCATGAAGATTGAGAGTTGAAAACACTTAAGGGGCACCTTTGAGAAGGTTTTGATTGCTAGGGTTTGGGTCAGGCCCAGGAATCCATACCTTTAACAAGCACCTTATGGGAATTTTTTCCTCCCAGTTAGGCCTGTTTGGGACATTCTGCCTTATCAGATTTTATTATGATTCTTATATTCCAGTAAGTTTCTTTCCCACTAAACCATAAAATCCAGGAGGAAAGAGCTCCTATAGACCACCGCATCCCCACCCAGCATCAAGTACCAAGGTGCATGCAGACCCACACACCACTATTATTGTTCAGTCAGTATCTGCCAAATGGCTGAGCATCTGTCTTGTTTCCCAACTTGATTATAAGCTCCTAGAATTCAGCTAATCTTAGAGTCTACTGGTCCTGGCTTGGTCCCTGAGTCACGGTACTAGGATGAAAGCGTGAACCTTGGACGGATCATAGAATTTTAGGACTAGGAGGAAGCTTGAGGCTCATTGCTTCTTCCACCCCGATGAGGAATTTAAGACATTGTCTGCCCTGTACAAGTTCATACAATTTATTAGGGGCTGGACAGGAGAAAGTATGGTCAAGAAAAAAGCAGGCGCCTTTCAAATATCATTATTGTCTTGATTTCATGTTGCCTACACACTTAAATAGAGCTCTTCATCAACTGTAATGGAACATCTGGGCCTGAAATCCACAAACCTGACTTTCCTGCCATAGTTCTTTCATACTCCTGCTAGGAAAGTGGCAGAGGCAGTGGAAAGGATGTGGGATAAACAATGTAAAATAAAACAGGTGGGATGTGGTAAGTGATTATGAGGAATGAGGAGCATGGAAAATTTCTTTTCTCTACATCAGACCGCCTCCGACATAGGGCTCCTCAGGTTTTCTTCCACATGCTTATATTAAAGGAATGCATTTTTTTTTTTAATTTTTTTTTTGCGGTACGCGGGCCTCTCAC